CCCCAAAACCCCAAAACCCCAAAACCCCTTGTAGCCATAATTAATGAAATATGCTAAAAATAAAAGTAAATTAAATGGAATATATAATTAACAGTCAATTAGATATTTTGACTAAAGAAAATGATAATGGCAAAATAAATTCTATTCAAAGACATAAATTGACACAAAATCAAACAATCAATCAGTAAAATTAAATCAAATATAAATTTTATAGAAACAAGGATGATAAATTAGAAGAAAAAAGTTAGCCATTAAATGAAATATAAGATTTTGGAAATAAATAATTGATAAAAAGACATAACGACTAATCTCTTGAAAAAATTTTATAGGATTTAGGGATTATAAAAATAAAGTAACATTAAAAATTGGGAATAAAAGAAAAATGTGAATTAAAAGATGATATAAAGGTTTCATAGAAAGATGATAAAATTGAAGGTTAATAATAATCAAGTGAATTTGAATAATGGTTAAATTCTTTGAAACCTGATAAGCCTGATAATGAGATTTTGGAGTGCAACAAATAATAAAATCAAAATGAGATTAAAATCATAATTACTGAAACATAATCGAATATTACTTCAGTTTTGACATAGCCTCTATCTGAATAGAATTCTTCTAAAAAAATGGATACAGTCTAATATTTCTATTACCCTATTGGGTTTAAATTGTACTAAAAGTATTTAGATGAAGATAGTTATCTTGCAAAGTTTTGTAGTTAAACAGATAAGATGATTTTATTTAACCATTAAAATATTGAAAATTACGATTACTCTAATTCAAATATTATAAATTCAAGAAAGATTTATAAGTTTTCCTTTTAACTCTCAGTTTTAATTAGAGAAAATCATTTCTTTGCTGATTTTAAAAACTATTTGAATGCAATGATGAATAAGAAGAAAATTTTGAATGATGATGTAATTTGTAATGAATCAGTGGAAGATGATATTTTAGGCAAATTATTAATGACCTACTCATAATTTAAAGAAAGAAACTTTGGCTAGATATTTAGAACAAGAGATGCTGCTTTCGTAAGAAAATGGCTCTTGAGAATTTACCCAGCTTAGGAAAAATATATTAAAAAATTAGGCTGCGTTTATATCTACGTTGATGAAGATGATCTTGAACTCTTAAGATAAAATAAACTTCTTCATCCGCTCTTTTATAAAATTGGATTTACTACTAGAGATCCTAGATAAAGAGTAATGGAGGAAATTGTCAAGTGCTAGAAAATTTTCATCCTTGTAGATGCATTTTACACATACTATCCTGAATATTTAGAATTTTACATGCACTGCTATTTCCATAAGCAAAGACTAAGAGTTGAATATGATAATCCAAAAATAATAGAAAGAGGTGAAGGAAATCCAGGTTTATCAGAGTGTTTTTAAGTATCCTACAAAGAAATCTTAATCTTATTACTCAAATTAAAAAGCTACTTGGTCAGTCTATATGAAGATTGTGAAGAAACTTAAAAATTTTAACTCAGATTTTCTCATCAAAATTGGTTTTGGAAAAACTTACATGAAACTAGTGCAAATTTTTTTGAGTAGATAAAAGAAAAATGTGATCAATAAAAAATATGACAAAATTTTCTTGATATGATATAGGCATGAAATGCTAAATATGTATTTTGAAATATTTACAGTCTTTAAACTCATTATTAATATAAAATTACTTTTACAGTCGTCTTAATTTTTGTTATTTTTAATTAGAGGGGTTTTGGGGTTTTGGGGTTTTGGGG